TGCCAATTTTTCCTGAGACCTGCTGCTATAAAACTAAAAAGTTTTCATGTCTCATTATACTCTCTGATAAGGCAAAAGATGCTGAATAGAGAAAAGTGATGTATTAGAGCAGATTTTTTTCTAGCTTACAAGTGGGTAGAGTTTCGGTATATGGCCAAATGCAATCTCTATTCACTCTCTTGTTCATTACAACAGCATGGCCCGAAGTCCCAAGTGATTGCCAATAGCTTCAACTCAGATCTCCCCTGACAGTAAATGTCTATACGTTTTCATTTACAATAAACCCACCTGATAAGTAATTTCTACAAATTTATCAGCAGATACACAAGCATATGCCAGTGTTATGAATATATCCACCTTTTATGTCAAAGAGGTAATTTTAAAACTATCACTATTTTACAAATCTCCAGGTTGTTTGATTTCTATATGACACTTCTCATAATTGCCATTATTCACAAGCAAACAAAACTAGGCATCAAAAAGAGGGCCTACGCCTTCAGAATCTAAACTAATTATTCCTCCATCTGGCTTTGGCATATAGTCAGCATGGCTCTCATTTGCACAGGATTTGAGCTGTTGTCTCCTAGAATAATGATTAATAGAAGAATTTTAAATATTAATTTGTTCAAAGTGTAGAAATTGCTTGGTTTGTGCTTAGTGCTGCTAGCTAGTATCTTAATGCACTGTGCTTCATTTATTCCAGATAATTGATAAGAGCAAGAGAGACCCCTCTGAAGAAATTGAGATCCTGTTGCGATATGGACAGCATCCAAACATCATTACTCTTAAAGATGTGAGTAGTTTCTGAGCACTTCATCATTAAATGATCTTCACCTTATGGTCAGGCTCACCTACTAGCTCATGTCTGGAAAACTCATCAGTTGAAGGTCAGAGCTAAAACCAGATCCAGAGAAATTAAGGAAAAAATGTGAATTAACAGAGTACTGGATAGAAGTTGGAAAGACTGGTGAGGCAGTATATGCTCTCTAGTCACTGCCTAACCAACTGTAAAAAAACCAAAGGGGCACAGTGCTGGAGAGCATCAAAATGTGTTTGGTTTTGCAGCACCTTTCAGAAGTGAGATCTCCCTAGCTGGGTGTTTCGGAGCAGCTGCTGAGCACACACAGTGGTGCTGCTGGGCAGGGGTTGCTCTTTCGTGAGAAGCAGTTCTTCCCGTGCAGCCTGTGGTATCTGCTTTGCTGGGAAGAGGAGAGCTTACGAAGTTTCTAGGGTTTCTCTCAATATTGTTTTAATGCCAAGGAATTTATACCTTCTACTAAAGTCTGAGAAGACATGAAGGTGTATTTCTTCAGTATTTCGTATGAAGAATAGCCTTTGCCATGCTTATATGCTGTAACGACCTTCAGCTGGAGGTGTTTCACTACACTGCCTGCAGTCTCACCTAGGATTGTCCACACTGTGTCACGCTCAGAGTTTACAGAACAAAATCCTACAGGTGTCAGTAGCCAATATGTTACGGGTCAGACCTTAAGAAAAGTATATAAAAAATATCTAATCACATGCTCTCAGGAAAGACTGACCTAACTCCTAAATTTTAGAGAGTATCTTAAAATCTGTGTAAAAACTGGTTTATATTCCTTTCCAAAAACATTTAGTGTTGATAACTACAACACTGCCTATTATTGCAGTCCAGATAAAGAACTGGGACATGAAAATGGCTATCATCCAATTTAGACAAAAAATATCTTTTATCCCATGGAATTGATGTTGAAGGTAAATATTCTTGCAGCTGGTGTCAACAGTGTTTTCACCAGAATTGCAAATAAAAACAATATAGTATCATCGGAAGCAGGTCTTGGTGAACAGTATAATACAGTTCATTTAGCTGATCATGAGTCAAAGGGAAATATTGATATTTGAAATATCTAATGTTACCCTGTAGAAGTGGAAAGCGAGAACACTACTGAGAAGGAGGCTTGGGTGAGAGCCAGCAGGCATTTCATGCTGTGTGAAGTGGTGCTGCTTTTAACAGCTCGGTCCACTTTGCTGACACGATAGCAGATCAAGAAAGCTGCGTTTCTGTGTGGACAAATTGGCAAGTTGCTACAGACACAAGAAAAAAGTGATGATTAAGTGATTTTATAAAGCTGCCTTGTCTGTTGTTAAGCGTAATAAGCACATTTCCCACACGTTAGCTGACTTTTTTTTCTTGCAACATCTCACGTAAGCAAGCCAGAACTATGATTAAAAGACCAACCTTTACTAAGTTAATGGGTCCAAAATATGTATTTATTATTCTTCCAGGTCTATGATGATGGGAAATATGTGTACCTGGTGATGGAGCTGATGCGGGGAGGCGAGCTCCTGGACCGCATTCTTCGGCAAAAGTGTTTCTCAGAGCGAGAGGCCAGTGCTGTGCTGTGCACCATCACCAGGACTGTGGACTACCTGCACTCTCAGGGCGTAAGCATTGCTTTTTTGGCTATCCGCACCAACCTTCTTAAAAATCTGACTTTTAGAAAAAAGCAAATACTGTGATTTTGCTTCTCTGAAATGTGTAAATATAGGGGTTTTTTTCCCAACCAAAAAAAATATATTTCCCCTGTTATAATAACATTTGGTTTGTGAAATAGGGTCATAGGATTTTTAACTGTTTCCCAAGTAACTGCAGTATTTTAAACTGGTATTTTCATCCCCAAAACTGTACTGTTTTTCAAGTTAATGTAGTGTGTTGAGATATTACTCGTTTACTTTTTATCAAAGTCATTATTGCAGTACCTGATCTTTCAAGAGAATTTCAAATAGGGTAGCTGAATCAGCAGATAGGTAGAAAATCAAATGTTCAGCTTTCCAAATGAAGTAGCGGTTTGAGCAGCTGATGGGAAAGGCTTCTGACATTCTGCTAAAGAGCTGGCTTTTAAAATCTAAGCTCTCTGTGTGCAGCAGTTTGAAAATCTCTTCTGCTTTTCAGGGACAAGCAGTTTGAATGACAAGTCTAATATTTGCTGCTCTTTCTGCTTCATGGTTAAAACAAGTGCATTTTCAGCTTGGGCTTTCATGTTTTCGTAGTTTTGCAGTCTTGCTATAACACATAAAAGCTCTTTTCCCACCACAGAAATGCAGCATATCTGGTTAAACACACAGACACTTAAGCTGCAGAAAGGATATCTCTGAATATATTTTGAAACGAGGAAAAAAATAACAACTCCCTTCAGATGTGACCCACTCACATGGACAACCGCAAGAAGACCCTCACACACTTTTGTCTTATCACAGGATTTCTTATCCGTCTTTCAGCTGAATATTTAGTCATCAGATTCCAGGAGACTCTGACACTGAGGTGTTTGTGCAGCAGCCCCTTCTGACCTCCCTCACAAAAGGTGTTCCGCTGTAGAGCAGCAGCTTCCATCTTAATACACCAGAAGAGACTGTTGAATGTGTTATTTCTGATTTTAACAACTTCGGCCTTTTTCTTCCTCTTCATTTGCCCAAAGCTTTTAAGCAAATTTTCTCCAAAACTTGAATATTTTCAGCATGAGCTCTTGACCTACCTCAACCAGCAGACCAGAAATGGCAGCCAAGCCTGGATACTCCCTGACCTGCTCTTCTCACTTCTTATTATCTGCTTTCTTGTTAAGGTGGTACACCGAGATCTCAAGCCAAGTAATATCCTCTATATGGATGAGTCAGGAAACCCAGACTCCATCAGGATCTGTGACTTTGGGTTTGCCAAGCAACTGAGAGCGGAGAACGGGCTGCTCATGACGCCCTGCTACACGGCCAACTTTGTCGCCCCTGAGGTAGGATCGCATTTCAATGCCATGAGTAATGAGCATGTCCTAGGAAGCAGTCCTTCTTCCCTCTCTCCCTTTTCCTCGCTGCCTTTACAAGCGGAGAAAGGCAGAAACCAGGCTACCGCCACTTGAACAGCTTCTGTTACCATAAGTTTCCTATTCCCAGTCTTGTCGGGTCAGTTGTTTTTCGCCAGACAGATGTCAGTATCTGCCTCACACTGACGTACACAGTGATTTGGCTCATTACTGGGATAAATACCCTTTTTTCTGTAGCTGCTTCTGCTCAGACTGCTTCCCCTCTAGTGCACTGTTCCAGAATAGGATAAGATTTAAAGGGGAAATCTTGGTATCAGGAATAAGACTCAAAAGAAAAATCCATGCATGAAATCCTTACCACACCGAAGTCAGTATGAGCTTTATTGTGGATTTGACTGAGCTAAAAAACATCTCTCCTCTTGGGTTTTCCTACTACCAATCCCCACTGTTATTCAGGGTGTAGGAAGGGGCTGGAGGCAGACCAAACAGCCTGCCCCAACTATGGGGACGAGTGACTCTACATCGCTGGCAAGTGCTGTTCCTTTCACACAGCCCCACGAGAGTGGGTTTGAGTCCCACAGCTAGTTTGAATGGCTTGGGCTGATTGCTATGTTTGACCCCTGAGAAATTCCTAGCTGCTTCCTTCTGATGAGGGAGCTAGAGGTTAAATTCCTGGGTAGTTGTCCATTTCCTGGAGTGATGATTATCAGCAATTTTAGTATTTGCAATACACAGCTTCACATGTGTGTCTGCCTCTGCTTGTTACAGTCCTTAAAACTGAAAACTATTGCCTTTTAATACTTCATGTATCCTCTACTGTCAAATACCATTTTCTCTTGGTTGGTATAATTTGGCGATATTTTCCTCCCCATAACTCTCCTCCATCCAGTGTTCGTCTGCCCATTACATAACTGGGAAATGAAAAATGGGATGATCATTCTGTACATAGTCCTTTTGTGATATAAAAGACAAAGGAATCACAGCCTTCTGGCATCAGGAGATGGCATTAAGTTGAGACCAATGCTGGTGCAGTATAAATTCAAAGCAGATAGCCAAGATATATTGGCTGGTTATTCCATTGCTGTTTCCTTGGGTTTTCATTTTAGAAACTTGATGGAGCTGTTTAAAATTTATCAAAATAAGTCAAATAAGTTTTGTGGCACCTCAGCAGTTCAATTTCTAAACTGAAAATTGATCATCTTTGCAAGATTTAAAGCACTGAGATTTTCTCCAGGATACTATGTGCTTAAAATAAGTGTAGCTATTTTTCATGGTGGGCTATTCTGTATAATGTCTGTAATCACAAACCTTGCCAGCTCAATTCAGTTTCAGGTCAGACCCTTCAGATTTGAACTGAAAGCAGAAATCACACTCCCGGACGTTAGCAATGAGTAAGACGGGTCCTGCTAATGCAGGAAACGTTGAAGATTAATTGAAACGTTACCAGAACTGGCAGAGAGCTTACATAAAGCCTTAAGTGCTTTTACATTTTACCTGTGATATAGTGCTGCCCTCCAGCCTAGGCTTTCACGTTCCCCGTGTGAGCCCCGCTGCGATCTCCGCCGTATGCCCCGTGAAGCTAAACGGGGCGGCAGAAAGTCAGCCGAGGTGGTGACACAAGAGGGCAGAGGCAGAGGGAGGAAGCTACATTTGCCCACTTGGATTTCCCTTTATTTTGGAAACTTTTAAGCCGGGGTTTACGTGAGAAGGGGAGCGAAGAGGAGGGCTGCCCCGAGAGACAGGCGGGCGCTGCCACCTAGTGTGAGCCGTGCTGGGTGCAGGGAGCGGGGTAGGGTCTGGAGGGAAAAGGCAGCAGCCTGCAGGACACCACTGCGTCTTTTGAAAAGCTCTTTCCTTGGCTGATTTATTTCAAAGGCGCATGCCTGTTACTGTCTGGTAATATTAACCGCCCCCAGACGAAACACTGATCTTTTGGGCCATGGTTTCCCACACTTGCTGCTCTCAGCTCAGGTGTTCTCGCTTTAACCGCAGTTGCACAGAACTGCTGGGGACATTTTCAAATAACAGCGATATTAACTGATAATTCTCACTAGATCCTGCTGTTATCCGTGGGGTGAAGTTGCTGTTGATAAAAAGTGATTGCCAGTGAAGCTTTCCCTAGACACTAGCACAGAGCGAACCTCCCTGTTACCTAGCAGAGTTGTTGCAAGCTGAATGATAGCACACAGCGACACCTGCCCATCTTTTGGGGTGGTGTAACCACTTGCTTAATACCCTGCTCCACTTATTATCATCACTTCCCCATTCTTCTGTCATAGAATCGTAGAATCATAGAATGGCCTAAGCTGGAAGGGACCTTAGAGATCATTTTAATCCAGCCTCCCTGTCGCCAGGGACGCCACCTCTCGACTAGATCAGGCAACCCATAGGGAACGTCATTTGCTTGGGACTTGATTGTCCTTGGTTTTTCAAGGAAGACAGTGATGGCAATGAAAATGTAACTGTTCAAGAAGCAATGAGAATGGCCACACCAAAAGATTGCATATTTGGTCTCACGGGGGAAGCAAGAAGCAACTGAGTTTGTCAAATGGAAAAGAGTTTTCCCCATCAAAACTAACATTAATAGAGAGGGAAAGAATGCAGGAACTAAAGAAATAAGAAACAAATATAACAACCAGAGAGCATATATATGATGCACAGGTGAGAAAGGCAGAAGCAGGATTTTACCAGCTTTGTCAACAGGAGAAAATGTTTTTGTTTCTTGGTGGCTTTTTTTGTTTGATTGGTTTTTTTCAGGTAGCAAATGTTCACTCAGCAGCATACCTGACAGATGGTTGCTTTGCCACTCATCATTTGTAAAATCTATGAGGCAACATTTTCTGAAACTGTTTTCTTTTCCAAGCAGTGCTTGGTCTTTTCTGAGACAGACTCCAGATAGCTGAAATCACTCCTGTCTATTAAGTCTGAAGGTCAGAGAAAGGCTTCCTGAATTTGTACATTCTTTTTTGCAGATTGTTTGCAAAAAAATTAGTGTATCCACTTATCCATCAGAAGGGGACAAAACTCTCCTTGTGCATCAGAACTGAATAAACAGAAGGGTAGTTTGCTTTTACAAGCAAGTGGAAGATCTGGAGGTGATCCCTGAGCTCTTCTGAGCCAAACAGAGACAAAGGTCTTCCCCTAATCTGAGCAGTGCTGCCCCATTTGGTGACCTCATTTCCACTTGGACCTGCACAGACTCAAATAAGCATGTTTTCCAGCATGCACTAGCATACATGAAATCTAGATTTTACTGTTGCTGTTGTAACTCCTCATCCTGCACCAATATTGAACCTTGTGTGAGATCTCTGCTGGGTCTTGTTTTCCCCATAGAAAAAAGTGATCAAGTTTTAGCCTGTTATCTATTAAGTCCAGTCTAAATGTGACCATTTTTTTTAATACAGAAGATAAGAATAAACCTCTTAGCTTCCTTTGCTGTTGCCATGCCTCTTTGCAAGTCTGACGTTAGATATGCATTTGTGTACATCTGGGTTTTTTTATCAAATCCCAAATGAGCTCAGACATGCTCACTGTCACTGAGCCCTGTGTTGCATCCACAGTGATCTTGGCAACCTTTGTTTTAGGAGAACGTGTTTCAAAGTGTTGACGAGGTTTTTGTAAGAAATTATTTTTAAAACGCTAAAATGCTTTACTGTGTGTTAGGTGGTCAGACAGGCTCACAGAGCCACCAGCAAACTGCACTCATCTCCGTCCCTGTTGAGGTGACTGATGTGCTGGGCTTGAACACTGACTAACCAGCTCGTTCCAGCCTGGGCTTCACCTTGCTCCACACCAGTACTGAACATTTTGATCCTGAGACAGCCACCTGTTCAAGCCAGATACGCAGTTAAGCCCTGGAAACATCAGCAGATACATCCATTAATCTGTGCTTTCTGAAGATCAGAAGCTAAAAATTCAGGAATGTAGATTAACTCATTTTCATCTCTATTTCCTTCACATAGGTCCTAAAACGCCAAGGTTATGATGCAGCCTGCGACATCTGGAGCTTGGGGATCCTGCTGTACACCATGTTGGCAGGGTGAGTGAAGAGGTTTTCCTAGCGCAGCAGTCTCCAGCGGGCTCAGCGCTTCAGCACTGATTAAGCCAGAAAGGAGTCGCAGATAGATACAGCAAACTGTCTGGCCTCCTTTGAGAAATGCACTCAGTTTTCTGAGGCACGAGAAGAGATGACAAGACTTAGAATAAGTTGTTTCCAGAATATGTAAATATCTTTGACACTTTACAAGTTTTTCAGGTTTTCAACAGACTGTGACTGTAAGCATGCATTGAAACCTAGACTCCTAAGACTCACTCAAGCTGCATGAAAGTTTTACATTAGACAAGGAGCACAGGAGTATAAAGAGCCATATAATATTCACCTTATCTGCAAGAGGACGTTCACTCATTTCTATTAATACATGTATTCTCTTCAGCTTCATTCTTCTTCTCCTGTTGCTGTTATTGAGGTATACAAGCACCCTGAGTATCATTTCTCAGGGTATGGTATGTGCACATTTATCACACTTAAGTGCAGCCTGAAACTTTTCAGTGACATCCCACAGCTCTTTAATCTGTTTCATGATCATTCAGCTGTGGCGAGAAGCTTGAATTTGTTCCTAGGTTTACACAGAAACAAAGAGTTGGACCCTACCTTTCTGTTACTTTTGCCTCTTGCCTTGTGGATTATAGAAGAGGTGCCAAGAGTCTCTATCCCATCTATTATGTTACAGAGAACAAATGAGTTCACCATTAGCTGAAATATGTTTCTGGGGCAGTCTCCCACTCTGCTGGTATCTCTGAAAACCTGTTTCTGTTTTGCTAATGCCATAGATTTGCAGTGATACACAAGCAAAGATCAGTGAAGTAAAATCAAGTTATTGCCCACAGTCACATTTGTTCAGCTGATTATATTCAAAATGCTTCTTTTTTAAATGTGAAAAAACCACACAAATGTGTTGGAATCTAAAATACAAATTGCACAACTTAGTGGATGTTAAATTTGCTGACAGGTACTATTAACTTGTATCTCACTTCTTTATGCAATTACAAGAGAAAGTAAGGCAAACAGTTCAGAAGACATGACTTTTTAGATGCCACCTCTGCATTTAGGGGTGGTCTTGCTCTTCCTCACCAGAGGAGAGTTAGGAGGAACTATTATTTGCATCCAGAATTTTATTCTTCTCCCATCGTCACTGTGAGCAGAAGGTTCAGACAATCAGGATTAGAGCACTGGAACTGAGGAATTGAATTTGCTACTAGAAACCAGGTAGAATAAGAAGCTGTGGCCAAGCCAACAGTTTAGTCACCTAAAAACCACTCTGGCAAGTTTTCAGAAGAGAAAAGACAGATGGAAGGAAAAATATAAAAATCCCGAATACCCGCTTCTTCTAAACCTGTACAGCTGTTTGAGATTGCAGAGTAAAATCTGTGCTGGTAGATTTTAATCAGCTGTAAAAATCTTATCACTTGTCACTTTATGAAGACAGGAAGTGTGCCCTCTGCATGTGACACTAATTTTGTAAAGCTGAGTGCATGTTACTGTTCATTTCTGACTGGCTAGATCAGGAAGTAGCCGATTGCAGATCACTTATTTTGCCCAGCAGACTTGACCATTATGATAAACCAAGCATTACAAAATAAATTTTTCTCTATTATTATTTTTATCCTTTCTGGCCATTATCAAGGTACTTTTATTGGCAATCAAACAGAATTGAAACAATTCAAGAGGTAAAAACCTGTCTCTTTTTAAAAAAAGAATATTTGATTCCTAAAAAGTGAGAACAGAACAAAAATTTTAAAAAATAAACACCACCACAATTAAGGAATCAGTCCTTTCCTCTGCAAAACAACTTAATATGAGGAACCACCAAACTGTATGGTTTGGATGAAAATGAAGGAATTCTGGACCCAAATTCCTGTTGTAATCCATGGCAGTTAACACTAGATCCTAGAAATCATGTACTTGCAAATTACACTGTAATTTTCTCTCTAACAGGTTCACGCCTTTCGCAAATGGACCAGACGACACCCCAGAGGAGATTCTGGCCAGGATTGGCAGTGGCAAATATGCACTGACAGGAGGAAACTGGGATTCAGTGTCTGACACTGCAAAGGTCAGTGTACACTTTGTCAGAATTTTTTCATGTTCTCTGAAACAGGCTTGCAGTCTGTAGTTGTAACAAACTCAAGAGAGGGATAATTGGAAGGTTTATTTCTCAATGCTTAATGAAATGAAAGCTTGCTTCTTTATGTTTCTACCACTTTGCATGAAGTGGTGTTTTGGGAATTTTGGTAGTTTATTTCATTAAACTAAAGCATAATGTAGTATCATCAGTTGATTTAAATAGCACAGAACTCTTTTTCCATGCAACTGTACTTTTAAAAGAAGTGTAAGGTTATCAATGCCACAAATGTATGGTCTATATGTGAATCATTATTTTTGCTCTTCAGAGTTAATCAGGAGATGGCAGTTTACAGACTAGCATTTTTAACTTCTATACAGTCCACAATTTAGGCTGCCCATCTACCACAAAGCATGGAAACTCCAGGAGGTAAAATATACCTGGTGCTGAGACTTTAAAGCATGAAGCAGGTAGATGGGCAGGTAAATTGACCTGCTTCCAGTTGCCTGGCATTAATCAGAGACTTTGTCAGGATTTAAAGATTGCTGCAAGAGATTTCAGATTTAGTAACTGGTAGTATCCAGTGGAAGAACGTTGATATATCCCACCACAAAACTGCAAGCAACCCTAGTAACATATTAATCTTGCTACTTACACCTATGAGCTTCAAAATGTATTTTTTATCAGGTGTCCAGTTTTGAAATTAAAATATTCAGATGTTGTACAGCTGATCTTATTGAATTTTAACCAACCTAATGTTAGATTACTATTCTAAGCTTCTCTCAGAAGCATGCTTTGGAGCCAGTGTAGAGGTGCCTCCAGCTGGCATCCTCTCTCTAGGTCGTTGTCACCCCTGTGAAGTCATCAGTACTCAACACTCATTCATTAAACTGAATACCCTCCACGTCATTATCTTTTGACTGGATTATCAGCTGAGAGTTCAACACTTGACAATGTTGAAAACCAGACTTTACACTTTAAAAATATAAAGCATATCTAAAGTGCCTCCCTGCCTCCACTGGAATGCTGGTGGTGACACTGCCACCAGGAAAATCTTAGGAAAACCTGCACTGGTATTATTTACTTCTTCCCTTTTACCATTTTCTTCCTTTTAAATGCAGGACATTGTGTCTAAGATGCTTCACGTAGACCCTCATCAGCGCCTCACAGCAGTCCAAGTTCTAAGACATCCATGGATAGTGAACAGGGAGTATCTGTCCCAAAACCAGCTCAGCAGACAGGACGTTCACCTCGTGAAGGTACATCCTACCTCCCCATCTCTTCCTTCCTTGAAGACTGAGCTGTCATTTGTGTAAATATTCTGGAAAGTAGTAGAGGAATTGGGAAGATTATTTGCCAGAGGCCAAATTTAATATGGCACTGTATTGACAGTAAAGATTTTTGACCTGTGACCTGATATTTTTAACTTCAAGCAGCATTGTAATGGCCTGGTGGTATTCTGTGCATACCGCTCCCCACCACTTTGAAACAGAGATGCCCCAGCTGTCAGCCAGCTAAATGTTGTTATCGTTTCATGGAAATCATCAGTACGGACCCTTTTTTTTTTCAGGGACTGAACAAGGGAAGGGAGTGGAAAAACATCAAAGAACTGAATTTCAACCCACCGTTTTCTCTTTCTCTGTTTTACAGGGTGCAATGGCAGCCACTTACTTTGCTTTAAACCGAGCACCTCAGGCACCAAGGCTGGAGCCTGTATTGTCCTCCAATCTGGCTCAGCGGCGGGGCATGAAAAGACTTACCTCTACCAGATTGTAGCAGTACCCCCAAAAGGCCTCTTTGAAAACCCACAGTTTATTATTTAAGGAATTCACATGAAATCACCAGAACTAGCAGAAGCCCAGTGTAAGGCAAAGTTCTCCTGCGCTCCATCATTTCTTTTACATTCCAGCCAGGGTCCCAAGTTTAACAACTTCACAAAGATGTGCCAATTTTGCCAGTAGCTCTCTTTCCTTACTGAGATAATGCCAAATAAAGTAGGTGCACTCCATCCTTCCCACCCTAGGAAATACTATTTTTGAATCCTTAAGATGTTCCTCAGGAACACTGTTTTCATTTTGTTTCTCAAGAAAAGCACTTTTTGCTATGAAGAACACAGTCGGGTTTGAATGTTTTCATCTGTTCCAGCATGTGTCATGATGAAGTGACTTGGCTGGTCACCAGTAGACATCTACTGTTCTCCACTCACCCCAGGAAGAGTGAAGGCTGCAGAGACTATGAATAATAACTTACTTGAAACAAGTGCTATACAACATGAAGGATAGAGAACTGTCGGTGGTGGAAATACCTTCTGATTTCAAGAAATGTTTTGCACTTTGCCCCTGCCCTGCCTGGAACAAAGCCGGCACCACTCAAGGTGCGTGTGCCACCAGCCCTGACTTATTTGGTCTCCAAGAGCAGAAAACTTCTGAGAAACTTGGTCCTCTGAGGAAATTATTGGGTCTTAACGAGACTGTGGGAAAGCATTCACACAAAACAATGTGAGCAGGAGCCTGTGGATGAGTGGAGAAAAAGGTGCCCAGTCTCCTCCAGCAAGCAGGAGGTCCTTGAGGACTAAGTGAGGGGGAACCGAGCACAGGCAGGGAGTGGCCCAGGTGACTTTGAGGACAGTAGGCAAAAAGGCCCATGGCAGCATGGTGAGGAGGTTGCCTGCCAAAGGGAACTAGTATACAAGTGCTTGGGGGGCCAGCTGGGACTACAAAGTGAGGGATGGTGTTTCCTCTTCATCAGCTGGTACAGAGGAGGGTGGGTGGGCGGCTGGACAGGTTGGTGCGGCTGTCCTCCCACGCCGTCACCAAGTCTGCTCACAGAGACCAGCTCTGGCAGGCTACAGTGCCACCCTGGAACAAGCGAGGCCATTTCCAGTCATTGCTCCCTGCCTTTCCCTGGCTGTTCAGCCAAATCCCACCCAGCGTTTCATGTCCCTGCCTGGCTGTTCTGCTCTAGAAGAGCTAAACTCCCTGTGCCACACGTGCACAGAGAATACCCACTTCTGAAGAGTCCAGCTAACTCTGTTACAAGCTTTAATAATAATAAATTATGAGGAGAAATGGGAGGATGCTCTGTTTTTATATTTATATAAATATGTATATATGT